TATTATTATTATTATTATTATTATTATTATTCTACGTTTGTGTTTGTGTTCACACACCATTATGTTGGACAACACACAACTAAGTCTACATCATCCTTGTCCATTGTTCCAGGAAGCAACATCACTGCTTTCCGGACACAACCATTGATGCTCCGTTGTTCTCTCCAAAATGTCGCCGAGGGTCTTTCCACTGACTGTGCCAGTGCATATCTGGTTGAACGTTCTTCTAATCGTTCCTCCAAGGATGCCAGATTTTCCGCTTCCTTTCTGTACTACCAAAAGCATCATCCTCTCCACGGCAGTTCTGGCCTCTGCCTCCCTATCTTCCTCCCCAATCAGTTGGCGAGAGAAACATTTCAGGATCTCCACCGTATCTGGTTGAGCCGTGCTGTCAACTGAGGTGGCCTCACCAGCCAGTCTGTCGGCTTTTTACATCCAGCCTAGGCTACATCAAGATGTACCCAGCACAACCCCGCACGAGCACAGAACGGAAGTCCCCGAAAGTCTGGGTTCAGAGACAGCAGCACTGTGTCAAGCCCACACTCTTGTGTGTCAACGCTTCCTCCTACACTGGGGAGATGTTTCTGCTACCAGAGAACATGATCTCATCTCTAACTCTAAGATATCTGTGTTGACAGCTGAGAAGCGGAGTCGGTCAGTCCATAGCGCACCAGTCTCCTAAGGTAAACTACATCTACATCCTAAAATCGATGAACATCTTTTCTTGTTGCAGTGAACTTACTTTAGACTGGGAGTGAAGATGTGGATTTTTAGTAACTTTTCAGATTGACTGATGGACCAGAAGGGCACTTTATTCAGACTTCGTTGCTTGAGTCAATAGTAGAACATTCTCTAGATTTCCCTGACAATTATTGTTTTCCGCAAGTCTCTTCCCTATCTGCCATTTTTTACAAAAATAAAATAAACCAGAAACATCCTTTGATTCTTTTCAACGATGGGAAATCGAAGAGTCCAAGTTGAGATTATTTAACCAAGTCCGAATAAATTATAAACCTTTGACATCTTGAATTTTTAAAAATCTTTGGTTGAGTTTGAATAACAGTTTTTTTTTAGGGTAGACTAGATCTACTTATAACACAAAAAGTCACAGCATTATTGTCAGTACCAAAAATGAAAGATGTGACTAAAGAGGAACATGGCAGAGAAAAGATAGGGAGATAAGGACTATAAATGGGTGTTGGTAAAGAACGGGCAAACCACATCAGAACATATGCCAACCATCTACAGACATCTTTTCTTGTTGCAGTGAAGCTTAGAAAGAGGAGAGGGTAGAAGTTTTGATTTTCAAACTATTGGTTGTTGAAACTGATGTGGAATATAGAGGCATACTAGAATCTAGATCTACGTATCGTCACAGGTCACTACCCCAGAATTACAAAGTTCTGTCTGAAATGTTTCGCCGTTTTGAATTACTAAGACCATGAGACCAGAAATCAAATGTGCCATCTGTTCTATCAAAATCGTAAGATTATTCCGAGGCCATATCAAGATATTCAAAGAGGTGCATTCGGAAAAAGCTTGACATGATGTTAAACTTAATTATTTAAAAGTCAAATTTCTCCAAACTATGTACTGAGCAGATAGAACTGTGTACATCTAGAGTAGTGAAAGTGGTGACGTTTCTGTGGTGTGCGATCAGGATGTGGATTGTGTCCCCGTGGGCCAGTGCAGTGTGGTCGATGTTGTTGTAGCCAAAGAGCCAACATTCAGGCCAATAACGATGCACTACACTTTAATAAGGCTTGAAATACAGAGCAGTGTAAAGGGAGGGGGGGGGGACAGCTGGGTTGTGATTCTGAGCATTCTCCTAACTTAAGTACCACATTGCAGGGACCTCCTGTCTACTCTGGGTACACTACACTACACAGGTGTACAAACACGACATGACACACACATCTGAATGTTGCCAGGTGTACAAACACGACATGACACACACATCTGAATGTTGCCAGGTCTACAAACACGACATGACACACACATCTGAATGTTGCCAGGTGTACAAACACGACGTGACACACACATCTGAATGTTGCCAGGTGTACAAACACGACGTGACACACACACATCTGAATGTTGCTGAGGCAGAGATGACCATCTGTGATGGCGTCACGACCCTCCCTTCCCTCTGGCCTCTGGGCGTGGTTTCTGGTGTCGCTACTGGCGCCTTCCTGCCGCCCTGTGTGAGTTTTTGGTCACGTGTCTTTGTTTTTTGTTAAAGGTACCGAATGTCGTTAGTGAGTGTTAAAAAAATGAATTTTTAAAATATTTGGAGTGATTTTATTTTGGTCAGAATACAACGTTTTATGTTACTGTTGTATGTTGTATTGTAGTGTAAAGCGCTCAGAGCCTGTGCGCTTTAATCGTGGTTGAGTGCTATATAAATGCCATTTATTATTGTTATTATTATTAAAATGTGCATCATAATGTTAGTTTGACCTATAGTAAATGTTACTGAGTGGTTGGTTGGCGGGTGCTCTGCTATTGTTTGCTTCTTCTTTCCTATCAAACATCTATAGTTCTTATCTCTCCTGTTTCTCTTCTGTGTATGTTACTCTCTAGTAACACCCCCCCCCCACCCCTCATCATCGGCACTTACATTGTCTATTTGTGTTGCCTGTGCAATAAACTCTCACTGACATTAAACAAATTAAAACGTCACTGAAAGTTTTCTCTATCTTTTATGAGTCAGAACAAAAGACAAACAAAAGTTTGCTGCCGTGAGTGAACGACGATGTGTTTGACAATGCTAGTGGCGAGAATAACGTAGATGTGAAAACCCTACTGGTATCCTCTATCGCTGTTTTTGCTCAGTGAGCTACTCTTGTTCCATCGGCGCTCCATTAGCTGAATTTCACCTGCTTTCTCTCCCCCCC